AGCGACTTTGGAACTGGGTAACAGGCAGAGGTTGGAACAGTTTTGAGGGCTCAGAAGAAGACAAGAAAATGTGGGAAAGTTTGGAACTTCCTAGATACTTGTTGAATGACTTTGACAAAAATGTTGATAATGATATGAACAATAAGGTCCAGGCTGAGGTGGTCTCAGGTGGAGATGAGGAACTTGTTGGAACTGGAGCAAAGATGGCTCTTGTTATGTTTTAGCAAAGAGACTGGCGGCATTTTCCCCCTGCCCTAGAGATTTGTGGAACTTTGAACTTGAGAGAGATGATTTAGGGTATCAGTCAGAAGAAATGTATAAGCAGCAAAGCATTCAAGAGGTGACTGGGGTGCTGTTACAGGTATTTCGTTTTATAAGGGAAACAGGGCATAAAATCTTAGAAAATTTCCAGCCTGACAATGCAATAGAAAGGAAAATCCCATTTTCTGAGAAGAAATTCAAGCAGCCTACAGGAATCTGCAAAAGTAATGAAGAGCCAAATGTTAATCCCCAAGACAATGGAGAAAATATCTCCAAGGCATATCAGAGGACTTCATGGCAGCCCCCCTGCCCAACACAGGCCTGGAGGCCTAGGAGGAAAAAGTAGTTTCATGGGCCAGGCCGAAGATCTCCGCGCTATGTGCAACCTAGGGACTTGATGCCTTGCTTCCCAGTTGCTCTAGCTGTGGCTAACAGGGGCCACTGTAGGGCTTGGGCCATGGCTTCAGAGGGTGCACAACCCAAGCCTTGACAACTTCCACATGGTGTTGAGCCTGTGAGTACACAGAAGTCAAGGATTGGGGTTTGGGAACCTCTGCCTAGATTTCAGAAGATGTATGGAAGTGCCTGGATGCCCAGGTAGAAGTTTGCCGCAGCAGCAGGACCCTCATGGAGAACCTCTGCTAGGGCCGTGCAGAAGGGAAATGTCAGAACCCCCACGTAGAATCCCTACTGGGGCACTGCCTAGTGGATCTGTGAGAACAGGGCCACCATCCTCCAGATCCCAGAATGGGAGATACACTGACAGCTTGCACCATGTGCCTGGAAAAGCCACAGACAATCAACCCAGCCTGTGAAGGCAGCCAGGAGGGAGGCTGTACCCTGCAAAGCCACAGAGGCAGAGCTGCCCAAGACCATGGGAACCCAACTCTTGCATCAGTGCGATCTGGATTTGAGACGTGGAGTCAAAGGAGATAATTTTGGACCTTTAAGATTTGACTGCCCTGCTGGATTTTGGACTTGCATCAGGCCTGTAGCCCTTTGTTTTGGCCAATTTCTCCCATTTGGAATGGCTGTATTTACCCAAGGACTCTACCCACATTGTATCTAGGAAGTAACTAACTTGCTTTTGACTTTACAGGCTCATAAGCAGAAGGGATTTGCCTTGTATCTGATGAGACTTTGGACTGTGGACTTTTGAGTTAATGCTGGAATGAATTGAGACTTCGAGGGACTGTTGGGAAGGCATGATTGGTTTTGAAATGTGAAGATACGAGATTTGAGAGGGGACAGAGGAGAATGATACAGTTTGGCTCTGTGTTCCCACCCAAATCTGATCTTGTAGCTCCCATAATTCCCACGTGTTATGGGACAGACCTGGTGGGAGATGATTGAATCATGGGGGTGGGTCTTTTCCATGCTGTTCTCGAGATAGTGAATGGATCTCATGAGATCTGATGGTTTTAAAAACAGGAGTTTCCCTGCACAAGCTCTCTCTTTGCCTGCTGCCATCCACATAAGATGTGACTTGCTCCTTGCCTTCTGCCATGATTGTGAGGTCTATCCAGCCATGTGGAACTGTAAGTCCAATAAGCCTCTTTCTTTTGTAAATTGCCCAGTCTCAGGTATGTCTTTATCAGCAGCATGAAAATGGACTAATACACTGAGCCTCTGTTTACACATCTTTAGACTAGCAATAATAAATGTAGTTACTGCATAAGAACAATGGAGAATTCAATAAGGCACAAAAGGCACTTGATACAATGTGCCTTTGTGATACATGGTCAGAGCTCCAGTTTTTTTCATTATCATTATCTTTCTACATTAAAAAATTTCTGATCTTCATAAAGGCACTGGAAAGTCCAATGTACATTTCTAAAGTTTTTGCATCCATCAACTTCACAAATTATCATAACTTTGAAGCACAGCCTTAGCCAAGCACATTGAAGAATTCAAGCACCTTTAAGAAAGGCCCCAGAGAAACAAGGCTGAGGCTGAGACTAGTCAATATGGGAGCAAATGAGCATTTTAATAGATATTAAAATCATATACAGAAGCAGAAAATGGGCCAGGTGCAGTGACTTACGCCTGTAATCCCAGCACTTAGGAAGGCTGAGGCAGGCAGATTTCTTCAGTCCAGGAGTTCAAGACGAGCCTGGTCAACATGGCAAAACCCCATCTCTACTAATACAAAAATTAGCCAGGCATGGTGGTGCACACCTGTAATCTCAGCTACTACTGCTGAGGCAGGAAAATGAGGAGAATGGCTTGAACCTGGGAGGTGCAGGTTGCAGTGAGCCGAGATCATGCCACTGCATTCCAGCCTGGGCGACAGAGTGAGACTCTGTCTCAAAAAAAAAAAAAGTAGAAAATTCATCTGTAAAATCTGACAAAATTAAAAGAACAACAATAACAAAAAGAAATTAAAATAATGACTGATGGGTTTAGCAGCCTCATCTGACAAGGCAACAAGCAAGGAGTGTACAACATCAGAACAACCCTTTCTGTAAAACTTTACAGAGCATTTCAATAAAACATAGTGAAGCTTTTTCACATCATTTGGATTAACAGTACCATCTTTCTCCCTCATTAATGTGGACCCAGCCTGAGAATAAACTGAAAATCATAAACTGAATCACTCTACCTCACCCTGATCACTTCACTCCATAGTTTTCTAATATACATCCTGCCAAATATTTTTAGGACAAGTCATTTGAAAGTTTTCTAAATGTCTCAAAAATTAGCAATGTGCCAAGAATGAGACCAATTAGGTCATCTATGCTTATCAGAAAAGCAATTTATTCCTGTGCATAAGTACAGAGAATTCACTGTGCAATTTTAACTTTGCTGTATTATGATTTTTAAGATGCATGCCTTGTATATTGCTAAATGCATGGAAAATAAAGTCTGGAAGAATATCCTCCAATCTTTTGACAGTGGTTGTCTCTGGAGTAAAATTAAGGATGACTTTGTATTTCTGCATTGTTCTCTTTACTGCCATTTGAAATTTGTATAATGAGCATTTATTATTTTCATACTACTAAAAGGTAAGTTTTTAGATGAAATAAAATGCATGTTTTATAAAAAGACTAGCCTTTTTGAAAATAAGTGGGTTTTGAAAATACCAAAAAGCTTCAACTTAGTAAAGAAAGAGCTGTCACTGAATATGAATCTTAAATATTTAGTGGGGTGGAAAAAACCTTCTGCAATGGAAAGAGATGATGAGCAAGGCTCCTAGTTAGAAAAGGATAGACTTTTTGGCTCCCACTGGGTGGCTTTGAGCATCCCAACTCACCTTTCAAAGACTAACCCACCAGGTGATAGCAAATACTCCATTGCACATGTTTGTGGAGAACAGAGTCCAGACCTCCGAGACTGGCCTAGAAACATTCTCCCTAGCAAAGACTTAAGTCTCCGTTCACAAACTGAATCAGTGCTTTTCATGATTCTAAAGGACTACCGTTCAGCATTTTTTCCCCTTTCGTCATTCGACTCGGAAACATTGCTTTTTGTGGATTTTCATGAACTCCAGCCCAACACCAGGTGCAAATTGAAAAAATCCCACTGGCCAAATTTAGCATAGGGAGGCCTACTGTTCTTTCAACAGAGCCCCTCTTTCAGGCCAGGAGTTCAGATCTTAGCCCCTGGGTACACCAGTCAGGGGTTTTTCTTTCATCCACAAGCATCACTCATGAAAAACTCCTTCTCTACGGTGCCTGCCTCTCCAGACCCCCCAGCCTAGAGGCTCAGATGCATGTGCCTGCGTGAATCTGGGGATTTGTGGGAGAGGAAAGCCAGAGGGATTCCTCATTGATCTTGACCTCTAAATATTCAACTGTCCCCAGCTCAGACATGTAATTTTCCACACACTGCAGTTTCTGTGTGGTCGCCGTTATCATTTAGCAAATACAGTTGGCCCTCCATATCTGTGGGTTCTGCATTCATGGATTCAACCAACTGCAGATAGAAAATATTTGGGGAGGTAATCCTAGCACTTTGGGAGGGTGAGGCAGGCAGATTAACTGAGGTCAGGAGTTCGAAACCAGCCTGGCCAACCTGGTAAACCCCTGTCTCTACTAAAAATACAAAAATTAGCCAGGCATGGTGTCACACACCTGTAATCCCATCTACTCGGGAGGCTGAGGCATGAGAATCGCTTGAACCCACGAGGTGGAAGTTGAAGTGAGCTGAGGTCATGCCACTGCACTCCAGCCTGGGCAACAGGGTGAGGCTCCATTTCAAAAATAAAATAAGAAAATATTTGGGGGAAAAAATTGCATCTGTACTTAACATGTACAGACATCTTTTGGTCATCGTTCCCTAAACAATATAGTAGAACAACTATTTACATAGCATTTACATTGTATTAGGTGTTATATGTAATCTAGGGATGATTTAAAGTATATAGGAGGATGTGGTTAGGTTACATGCAAATACTATGCTATTTTATACCAGGGACTTGAGCATCCATGGATTTTGGTATCTGCTGGAGTTCTGGAACCAATCTCCCATGGATACTGGGGGATGACTGTAATTTACATTGAGTTGCTCTCCTGCAATTTGCAATTAAGAGACCGTTACATGGCATTCCCCACTTGGGGCACTCCACCAACCTCCAAAGAAGGACATGGTGCCTTCAGAAACTCTGGCTGGTTCAAACAGGAATTCAATTCTGCTTTCAAGTCAGTGCTCCACAGAGCTTATGGCTCAAGCAATAATCTGATTATATTCCATTTTACAAGCATTTATTGAGCATCTAATTTGTGACTTGGTTTGCCATAGATAACTAATCTAACTGCCTGTTATTTAATTGAACTGCTGCCTTCTTATCCTGTGGTGGGATTGGACTACCAGGATTGCTTCTCTACATTTGCTGCCACATTTGCCTTATAAATGTTTCATCCTCTGCTAATAAGCCTGAGGGACACCCAGCTACTGAAGTTCTAATGTTAGAGTTTTCCTGATCTGATTGATTAGATTTGTCTCTATGGACTTGGTGAGTGGCATTCAAACACTCCATCTGAGGTACAGTGGTGGGGGGCTTGGAATAATGTTTTCTGGTGTTATCATTGGGCTTGGTCTACCCATTTGACAGCTCACAGAAGCAGTGCAGACAGCATCTTGGAAGAAAGACACAAAATTATCAGACTATAAACATTACAAAAAGTTCTTGATCTACTCTGCAAACTAGGTGTACCAGTCAGTCTTATAGGACGTGGATGGTCCACTCATATTGAGCAATTCATGAAACAAATTAGTGACTCTTCAGAAAGGCACGTCCAGGGTTTCAGGAAACAAGGGCAGTGAAGTAAGGGCTAGCAGCAATTGAGAACTGCTGCTACCACCAGAGGCCCAAGAAAACAAGGAGGGGAGGATATACCAGAACAAAAGCAGGCAGCTACAGAGGTCTGCCTAAAAGCAATTGTAGCTCCTGGTATGAAGATCTAGACAAACCAAAGCAAGGGAGACAGGAAGGGAGAAAAGGAAGGGAGACAGCCAGCAAATAAATACCATAACTCTCTCCTCCTCTTTTATGAACTCCTGCTGGTATTTCACATTGGCCGAACCCCACTGGGAGCTGGAGAACAAGACAGCCAAAAGTCCATATGGAACAGCCTCCCGGGGCACAAAGGAGGACGTAGAAGGGTGAAGAGTGAACCTACAGAGACAAACAAACAGACCTGGCATATTGAGTTTTTTAAGGGAAGTGAGGACACAATGAAGCATGCAATAAATTTATTCTTTCTGGAAGCTAAACACAAATGTGTAATTAGAGATTTGATATTTGAGCTGATTCTAGCACAGGTAAAAGTCTGATATAGATAGAAGTGGAAGACATTGTGGGCTGAGAAAGCCTATAGGGAAAAGAGCTTTAGAAAACAACTATGTGGCCAGAGCCGGGGCGTAAACAGCAGCAGCAGCAAGAGAGCAGCCTGGAGAGACAGAGGGGCTGGCCTGTGGAATCCCCATATGCCAGGTAAAGGCATGCGAGCGTCTGATGGACGTAGCTTCAGATCCACATTTTAGAAAGTCTATCAGCTCCCTAGAGACGGGATTAATGATGCTGTGGAGCTTCAAACCCCTTTCCAGAAACAGGTAGGACAAAAAAACTAGGTAATCAACATAAATAAAATAATTCTTCTTGACCATGATAGTCCCAAAGGCTTTGGTTTTGGTAACATCTGAGAAGGAGTCAGTACAATCATCCTCCTTTATAACCTAGACAGTGATTTTGCTTAATTATCTTCTCTATGAGATAGTCTTCCTCTAGGTTCTTTGTATTCTTTCACAGAATCTATGGATATTCTTTGGCTGCATCTGCAACACACTGAACATATTGCATAGGAGGGCCAAGTTCTTTTTTGTCTTAAACTTCTAAGGAGCCTTCCTTGGCACGAGAAGACTGACTCTTCTGCTGAACTCCTACACTACTTTAAATAGCTGCCACATTACTTCACACGCAATTATGTACACATTGTAATTTTCTCTGAGTTTGTTAATTTTGATTAATTAGATTTCAACCTCCTTGAATGCACCATTCCTAATCCCACTGTGTGTTCCTTACCACCACCTCCAGTGCTAAACATGCTCTGAACACAGACAGTATTTGTTTCTTCAAGAGCAGGTAGTCACTCTCTACCCAGGAACCGATTTGTGCTTTGGAAGGAGAATTTCCTTACAATTCACTGGAGCGTCTTTCTATAAAATAGCCTATGCCTTGAAGCACCCATGGTTCATACTTTCTGAACCCACAACAAGTATTTATTCAATCAGAAAAAAAGTATGTGGAGCACTTACAGTACACAAGAGCTAGCAAATAGTTAAATAAATATGATTATTTGGAACATAAAAGAAGTAAATTTGGGCTAATGCATTAGTCACTAAAAATGGCCTACTGTGTTACCCTTTCCAGATCATATTTACCATTTTGCAGAGTCCTACAAAGCCTTCTCAAAGATTAAATAATGTAGGAGTGTTAAACACTATAGCAGGATTCACAAGGGAAGTATTTTTGGTTAGGGAAGTCCTTTAGCATTTGTCATCTTATACCAATGACAACATGTCAGAAGCCTGGATTTGGGAGCTCCTACTCTTCTTTCAAAGCCTTGTGGAACTGTGGAGCTCTCTGGAGGCCTCTCCACACAGTCCCAGGGAGTCATTCCAAGCTAGTTATTCCTACAGCAAGTGTTTCTTAAAATGTTGTTCTCAGTCTTATTCTTTAGAATAATCTGGGTGATCTTGTTAAGCCTGCACTCCATCACAGATCTGCTAAGTCAGAGTCTTTGGACATATGGCCCTGGGGTATTCCATTTCTAACCCACTCCTTAGTTGATTCTTACACACACTGATGTTTGAGAATTACTGCTATGGCCCTTTGTAGCATCCTTAGTTTAAATCTTGAAGTTTCATGTACATGTCTATTCTTTCCATTAGACTGTGAATTTCTTGCAAACAGGAGCCATATATGAATAGCCATATTCTCCAAACTGGGCACAATTCCTGGAACATGGCAGATTTTTGCTAAATATGAGATCCATTTCTCACAACTATAAGAGTTCCTTATATATGACCATATCCAGATGAATATGTTGGTTGAAACCAACCAACATATTCTATTTCTCTATTGCCATATAACTACTTACCACAAAAACTGGCACAATGTCACTTCCAATTAATTCCATTGGTCAAACAGTCATAGAGCATGTCCAGATTCAAGGCTGGGGGGACAAAGACTCTACCTCCAACTGAAGGAATGTTGAATTTGTGGCCATCTTTAATCTACCACACAGCCCCTGCCAAAGTCTATTAAAAACAGACTGGGTATAATTCTTTAATCTGACTTTATGAGCCTTTCAAAGAGGCAAATAAACCAATCTTGTTTTGTGGCCTAGGAAATAGAGCTCACAAGACATGAGACAAAGTATTAAAAAAAAGAAAGAAAGAAAAATCCAAGGATATTTCTAGTGACTGTGGCCCTTCATAGCTTAGTCCAATTAACTTGGTCACAGGTCTTTTGAACTACATTTGAATCCCATTGTGGCCTCCAGTAGTTCCTTCCCCAGAAGGTAAATGGACATGTCAATAGTGGTGAATGAAATAATTGATACCCTTTATCAGTTTTAAGACAAGGTCAGAAATTGGAGCTGCGAAAGTTTTAGAAAGTTCTAGGAATAGGCCCAGGGTATTTAGCCCAGGAAACTTCTACTATAGGAATACCCTTAGTTTGCCTTCTTGGGGTTTGCAACTCTGGATGTCTCTTAATTGCAAATTCTTCTCTCTCTCTCTTCCCCACCCCCCCAACCCCCACCCCTTTTCCCTTTTTTTCTATTATATCCATATGGCTAAATAAGACACCTGGTCTTTTCCTCACCCATCCAATTCTATGGCTGGAAAAATAATATGGCCTAGAAAATCGACACGAAATCAATCAAGATGGTAAACTATGAGGTAGTCAAAAGTAAAGAACTTCACTTGGTCAACATAGAAACTGAAATAAGTAGTCCTTGTGAAGCTAGGTTAACAAATGGCAATTCAGCTAAAAGCTCTTTTGTTGAGCTTGAAAATTCTTGACTAAGGGGTAGGAGTCATAAAGTGCTTTATGAGTCATGAGAAGGTCAAAGATCACCTTTCAACTTTTCAAACTAGCCCTGGCTACTTGTGGTAGCTTTTCTTTTTTTCCTCCACACACCCGCCCCCACCCACCAGTTTCATCGTCTATGTCCACTTCACAGTGTATCTGTAATGAATTTGGATCCAGTTCAAAGAATACATAGAAAATCTTCAGCTCCCAAAGCAGGCTGCTCTGTAGGAGGGAGAGAGTAAAGAAAACACCCTGGGGCAGTTCTTTATTTCCAAAAGATTAAAAATAATTAAACATTAAGATATTCAACATGGATTATTGCAGACAGTGATGAATGGCTCTTCTCCCCCTAATGATGCCCTCTTCTAAGCTAATCTTACCCAACCTCATTTCAAAGAAAATGTTGGTTAACACTTTATTTGTTTCATTCCATGTACTCTTAAGTAAATCAGGGTTATAATGGCCCTGAATTCATAACCATCAACTGTCTCCCTCTTTGCCTTCTTGGAATAACTGAATGTGAAAGAAAGGAGATATTTTCAGAGGCATTAGTACTTATCTGAGAATTATCTATCTACTCAAGTCAGTAAAGCAAAGGCCAGCCACTATGCCACTGTTGGAAGCCAGAGGTCAGAGCATGAGTCTCTCCCAGGCAGTATATCTAGCACTGTCTCCACCACAAAATAGGCACTCAAGAAGTATTGGCTGCCTGTAGAAACAATTTATTTCCTCTTTCAAAGTGGGAAAGTGAATCCTGCTCATAGGGACAAAGACTAAGATAAAGCAGAGGCAATATTGTTGCTACTGCTCCCATGAGATTACTCAGATTTCATAGGAGCTTGTACATTTATTCAACAAGCATTTACTGAACTCCTACTATGTGCTAGACTCTGGATTCCATTGTTCTAGTGGCAGTAGCAGCAAACTGTAAATAAATAATTATTCCATTAGATAGTAAATAGCAGTTTTGTCTCACTTAGATAGTACTTAGAATATTGAGGTACTCCAGAAATACTAGTTGGATGGATAATAATACTAAAACAACAACAGCTACAGACTATTTAGAGCATGACACCTCCAAAACTCATGACCTTTAATTTTAATGCAGTAGTCTCTTGGAAGACCAAGGCATTTTGAAGGAATGGTGAGTATCCTTGGGTCATTTAATTTCAACTGTAGAAATGCAACAAAAGCATGAATCTTAGCCCTATGTCTTTCTTTCTCTTAAGGTGGCCATGCAGATAACTTTTTGCACTGGGAAAGTCAGGAGGTTTATTTGAAAGATGGCAATTTACCAAAACCATATAGAAGTTTTCCTAAGTTCATGATAAATTTCATTTGAAATAAACCTTGATCCTTGACTTAATGATGAGATTAACATTAAACAACTTTCACTGCATATTTTATGCTATTTCCCTAACTTATCAGCTTCCAATTTGAATTTCCCAGCACGAAGAAACTTAGGTTTTATTCCACAGCCCCACCAGTGGAGCTGCAAAAATAGGGGTTCATCCTTAATCAAATCTACTTGGTTACATCTTCCTTTATTCACTCAAGCTAGAAGTTTTCCATTTGGGTAATTGTTATTTCCCTTTCTACCTTGTAGGAATAGAGAAAGCCCTTGCAATGATGGGCTCAAAAAGGCTGAATGGCCAGAGTGTATGTAAGTTAAACACACACACACACACACACACACACACTTCTATCCTGTTCAGTTGCTATCAAAAAGCAACTAAATGCAGACTCCATGTAAGTTGGAGCTGGGCCCCTGAGCATCCCATCCGGAAATTAACTCCCTGACCCTCTGACTAAAGTCCCTGTCCCTACATAAGCAAGAAGTTGATCCTACAACCCAAGGAACACTCTGAGGAGCAAAAGAAAGATCTACTCCAAAGACTCCCATGGAACTGTCTTCTTAATATCTAAGAAGCACTAGGGCAAGTGTCTGTTGACAATATTATCAGTATTTTCATTGATCACACAAACCAGATTTTGTAAAGGATCAAGCTTCTATAAAAAGTAATCTTTGTATGTCTACCCAAGTGCCTACTTTATTGGCTGCTACCAGTGCTTACCCAATTTTTGGAATTCAGTAGGTGGGTCAATAAGGGAAAATGAATACTTCTATAACAAACAACCCCAAAGTGCAATGGCTTAACGTAATCAATGTTTAATTCCCACTCATGCCACTGTCTGTGAAGGTTGGATGACTCTCCTGAGTAGTTCTCCTACATATGATGACTCAGGGATTGAGGCTTCTTATAGCCTGTGTCACTATCATTCCAGCATATGAACTCCTTATCTACAAGGAAGGAGAAGAAAGACCAAAGAAAATCACCTAGAGAAATTTACGTGAGACTTGGAAGTAGCATATATCACGTTTTGTCCCCATTTCATTGGCCAGTACCCAGCAAATATCTCCAACCTAACTGCAAGGAAGGGTAGGAAATTTAGATTTCCAGTGTGCCTAGCAAGATGAAAGGAACTGGTGAGCATTTCCCTAGTCTCTGCGATCAGGTTTATACCTTAATTAACAGTACATGGAGGCCAGGCATGGTGGCTCATGCCTGTAATCTCAGCACTTCGGGAGGCCAAGGTGGGCAAATCACTTGAGGCCAGCAGTTCAAAACCAGTCTAGCCAACATGGTGAAACCCCCTCTCTACTAAAAATATAAAAATTAACTGGGCACGGTGGTGCATGCCTGTAATCCCAGCTACTCGGGAGGCTGAGGCAGGAGAATCACTTGAACATGGGAGGTGGAGGTTGCAGTGAGCCAAGATTGCCCCACGGCACTCCAGCCTGGGAGAGAGCAAGACTCCGTCTCAAACAAACAAACAAACAAACTGTACATGGAATAGCAGAAACAGAAATATTGTAACATGTTAAAGAAAAGATCATCCTATGTAATGTTTCCTGTAGTATACTAGCAGAATAAAAATAAAAAAGAGGGAGGGTAGTTTAGTGGTTAGGAGTAAGCATTCAGGAATCACCCTGACTCAGTTCACGTCATGGCTCTACCACTTATTAGACATGTGATGTTAGGAAAATTGTCCCATTTCTTTTTGTGTCAGATTTATCTGTGAAATGGAGATAACAGAATCTACCTCATAGGAACTTATTATAAGGATTCCACAAAATAAAATCTTTGAAGCACTGGTACTCTGGAAGTGGAAAGAGAGGGCACTAAGGGGGTTTTGGAAGGACCCAGCCTCTGGGATGACATGAGATAGGAGGTGCTAGTACACACATGGCAGGGGAAAGGGGTATTAGGAAAGCATCCTCAACTTGAACCAGGAATTTCCTGGATTTCCAATAACACAGGCCTGTCAAGTCAACAATGTCAACTCAACTTGTAAAATATGAAATTGCTTTCTTCAGAAGCAGGCAGAAGTGCACTCTTGTACGGATGCAGTAATGTCTCATGCACCTCAAGGACAGGGAGGAAACTGAATCTCAGAACTACTGAACCTAGGGACTAGAGCCCATTAGGGAACCAGAGAGTCTTTTCTTTCCTTCTCCTAGCTTTGCTTCTCTCTTCACATTTGATTCATTTATTTTTTTCCTTTCTGCAACTGACCTTCTTTGCTTTGTCATGGTAGAAAATGGTCACTACCAATATTTACATCTATTTTATAGAGGAGGAAAACCAAACCAAACTGGAACTTACACAAATTCCAAGTTCCTATGGGAGGATCTGATTGGCCAAGCTTGGTCAGGTGCCACCCTGGGTCCATTCAACTTTGGCCAGGCAGGCAGGTTTATGTCCTAGGAACGTGACTTATACAGTAATCCTGTATATCAGGACTGGATGTGATATTTCTGAAAAGACAGACTGGGTAGACCCTTTCTTCAGGTTTGTGATCACATGTTGCCTTCTGACATCTTTTTCGTATTGTTATTTCCATGATTTTTTACCTTAGTTTTTTGAGTGCTTTTATATTTTTTCTCTGCAATTAGGTTATAAGTAACTTAAAGATAAGAACTGTGTGCTACAATTTTTCTTTTTCTTTTTTTTTTTTTTTTTGTTTGTTTGTTTGTTTTTGAGACAGAATCTTGCTCTGCAGTGGAGGGATCTCAGCTCACTGAAACCTCCACCTCCCGGGTTCAAGTGATTCTCTTGCCTCAGCCTCCCCAGTAGCTGGGACTACAGGCGCCCACCACCACACCCAGCTAAGTTTTGTATTTTCAGTAGAGACAGGGTTTTACCATGTTGGCCAGGATGGTCTCAATCTCTTGACCTCATGATCCGCCCACCTCGGCCTCCCAAACTGCTAGAATTACAGGCATGAGCCACTGCACCTGACTGTGCTACAATTTTTCTATTCCACCTAGTATAATGCCCTATACTAGATAGAAGAAAAGTTATTGAAGGAATAAATGATTGATCTCAGGGGAGTGACTTGCCAAATCAACAGCTTTAAGGGTTAGTGTAACGCCTATGGATGTCTGACTTCCTTAAAGAAAGTGGTGGTGTCATAAAGAGACGGGGCAGAAGAGAATCTGACACTTCCCAGCTGATTTTTTTTTTAGCCCTCCTTGCAAATGACTGTTTTGAGTCCCTAAAAACTACTAACTACTGCCACTAACTACTAATTACTTTTGCTCATCAGTCCTTGATACTGGCAACTTCACTGAACACTTTGACACTTACTTCTTCTTGTCATCCCTCACTCCTAAAACTGAACTTCAACTGTAAACCGTAAAAAGAGTATTTCTTTTACCTGCATGTCACCATTATGGATACATGTAGTAATAAAACTTACGGCTCACTTAGTGCATTTGTTGCTATAGCACTCACTTCTTATCTCTTCAATCCTCCTTGCTGCTAATTCATTCATTCACTCACTCATTAACTATCTGAGCATGTCTCATGCACACTGGGTATTCAGCAGTGGTTAAACCCATTGCCTCCCTCAAGGAGCTTACAATTACGAGAAGCAAACAAGTCAGCAGGCAGTTACTGAGAAATATCCACCTTTTCCACATTTGTGGTTCTGCAGACATCATCCGGGAAAAGAAGAAATTTACAAAAAAAAAAAAAAAAAAAAAATCCTTTCCTTCCATAGCGTCTAAGTAAAGAGAATCATTTGGAAGGCTACAAGTATGTCATGGTAAAAATGTGTACCTAATTTAACGAATGCAATTTTATGCATTCTCTATTTGTGGTAACCACAGTCTATATTTCTTTCCATCTGTTTTCAA